GGTAGCATGTGCCTGTAGTTCCAGCTGCTTGGAAGGCTGAGGTGGAAGGATTGCTGGAGCCCAGTAGGTCGAGGCTGCGGTGGCCGGAAGCGGTCACTGCGCTCCAGTCTGGGCGATGGAGTGAGACTCCAACTCAAAAAAAAAAAAAAGATCCTCTTCATCTGTAGTAAGTGCCTAAAAGCATAGATTCATAAAACCATCACTATTTTAGGAAATAAAAGGAGGTATTGATTTTTTCCACTCTTATATTTACAGATAATAAAAAGATATCCATTTCTGAAGAACTTACATCCTGACATATACCCAGGAAAGAATCTCATATTAGGCAAAGATTGATTTGATGGAACTTTTTTCCAGGCTATGCTATTCAAATGGCTATTAGAAAGAGAGGGAAACAAGGCTAGGCGTGGTGGCTCACACCTATAATCTTAGCACTTTTGGAGGCTAAGGTGGGAGGATTGACTGAGGCTAGGAGTTATCCTGGTCAACAAAGTAAGACCTTGTCTCTACAAAAACTAAAAAAATTAGCCAGGCATGGTGACGAATACCTATAGTTCCAGGTATTCAGGAGGCTAAGACAGGAGGATGGCTTGAGGCCAGGAATCTGAGGCTGCAGTGAGCCATGATTGTGCCATTGCATTTCAGCCTGAGTGGCAGAGTGAGACTCTGTCTCAAAAAATATATATATCCATGTTCAATTGCTGATTATATGGGGGGAAGAGGACTTTTTTAAAAGAAGGGGAAGGAAACCAAAATTAATTATTTAGGCACTTTGCATAGTTTATTAAGTCTTTATGATATTTAATCTCACTAGATCTTTAAGAAATCATTATCAGGCCGGGCTCGGTGGCTCAGCCTGTAATCCCAGCACTTTGGGAGGCCGAGGCAAGTGGATTGCTTGAGCCCACAGGTTTGAGACCCACCTGGGCAACTTGGTGAGACCTCGCTCTACAATAAATCAAAAATTAGCTGGGCATGATAGCACACACCTGTAGTTCCAGCTACTTGGAAGGCTGAGGCAGAAGGATTGCTGGAGCCCAGCAGGTCGAGGCTGCAGTGGCTGGGAGCGTGCCACTGAACTCCAGTCTGGGCAACAGAGTGAGACCCCAATTCAGAAGGAAAAGAAAAAAGAAAACATTATCATCCCTGTTGTATATATGAAGCATGGAAAATTAAGTGATACTTCCAAGACCCTAGCCAATAATGAAGTTTTGAACCCAGCACACCATCCTGAACCAAGAAGTGCAGATTGTGACTGAATAAATGAAAGGAACTCAGCCATTTGAGCAAGCAGCTTCATCTTTCCCACTGCACTCTTTGGCACCATCTTTAGTCCATCTGAAAAACAGCAGTATTCTATATTAATAAGTAGCGAGTGATGGGAAGAGAAAACATCAAAACAAGATTGTAGGCCACCTGGCAGAGCTGTCAACTACAACTGAAAGAAGTAGGCTGTAGCATCCGAGCTGAGGAGAAATGAACTGAGTCAGGTGCGGACACCTGCTGTAGGATGGCTCCAGCTGTTTGGGCCTAAGCCAAGGGCAGGACTAGAGACCTGCTCTTTCATTCTTTTCAGCACCAGCATTCAGCACTCACATGAGCTAGATCCCCTTCTAGGCCAAGAGAACAGCAGGAAGTTTCTGTTCTTCCAGAGTTGACATTCTAGTTGGAGAGACACATGTAGGAAAGATATTTTCAGACAAAAATAATTGCTTTGAAGAAGATAATCAGGGTGGAGTTACTTAGACTGGATAGTCAGGGAAGACCTCTCTTTGAAGTGACCTTAGAGTCTGGGACAGAACATGCCAGATGGCAGGAATAGCAATTACAAAAGCAAAGGGAGGAATGAGCTTAGTGTGTTCAGAGGACAGAAATGCAACCAGGACAGCTAGAAAGTGATGGTCAGATTGTGTAGGGACTTGGAGCCAGTGGCAAGCAATTTGGACTTTATTCTAAGGGTGGTGAAAGCCCTTTGGAGAGTTTTTTTGGTTTGCTGTTGTTGTTATTGTTGTTTGAGTCAGAGTCTCGCTCTGTTGCCCAGGTTGGAGGGTGGTGGCATGCTCACGGTCACCCCAGCATCAACCTGCTGGGCTCTGGCGATCCTTCTTCCTTAGCCTTCCAAGTAGCCGGAACTACAGGCACGTGCCACCACAGCTGACTAATGGTTTTGATTTATTGTAGAGACGAGGTCTTGCCAAGTTGCCCAGGCAGGTCTCGAACCCCTAGGCTAGGCAGTCCTCTCGCCTCGGCCTCCCAAAGTACTGAGTTTACAGGCTTGAACCACCGTGCCCAGCCTCCCTTGGAGAGTCTAATCAGAGGGGTGATGTGATCTTTGTGTGCTCAGGAGATGAATCTGGCCCCTGTGGAGAATGAGTTAAGAACAGAGATGCTGTCACCAAAGGTAGGATGGAAGCTTGCTGGGACAAGGGTGGCAATAGAAGAAGTGGAATAGTAGGTGACCACCTTCATCTCCAGAGAAGCTCTTGATTTGAATTTGGGCAAAATTAAAGTAATAATTTCTTTTATTTATTTTTTTGAGTTGGAGTCTCACTCTATTGCCCAGACTGGAGTGCAATGGCCGCTCCCGGCCACTGCAGCCTCGACCTGCTGGGCTCCGGCGATCCTTCCGCCTCAGCCTTCCAAGTAGCCGGAATTACAGGCATGCGCTACCACGCCCGACTGATTTTTTGATTTATTGTAGAGATGAGGTCTCGCTGCCCAGGCAGGTCTCAAACCCGCTGGCTCAGGCAATCCACTCACCTCAGCCTCCCAAAGGCGCGGGATTACAGGCTGAGGCACCGAGCCGGCTAGGTAGTAGTTTCTTAAGTGGCTTTCTCTCTCATCAATTAAGAGCATGTTTATGTGGATTATAGTCTATCAGTGTTTACCAAATTATCCATTAAAACCATTTTAAGTATTTAGCACACTCAAAACAAACAATAAACCCATTTTAACATAAATAATATTTCTTGACCAAGCACAGTAGCTCCTGCCTATAATTCCAGCACTTTGGGAGACTGAGGCAGGAGAATTGCTTGAGCATAGTAGTTCAAGACCAGCCTGGGCAACATAGTGAGACCTTGTCTCTGCAAAAAAATCAACAAATTATCTGGGTGTGGTAGCACACACCTGTAGTCCCAGCTAGCTACTCAGGAGGTTGAGGTGGAAGGATTGTTTGAACCCAGGAGGTCAAGGCAGCAACAAGCCAAAATCACACCACTGCATTCCAACCTGGTGACAGAGTGAGACCCTTACTCTAAATAAATAAAATGCCTTATGGAAAACCTCTATATTTTCCCAAACAAAAATTCAGGGAGAAGAATGGTGTGTTTCGCTGTTGGAAACCACTTGAAGGTCTGGCTTCCTAGAAGTCAGTTGAATTCTCACCTGGGCTTCTGGCTTCATTCTGTTGTGCTGTCGTGCATTTTGTACCACTGGATTGGATTAGCACAAACAAAGCTGGCAACACCAATATCATTATGAAGTGGTTTTGACCTTGAGACCTGCTGCGAGGATCTTAGAGACCCCAGGATCCCCTCTTTGAGGATCACTGCTGTGAAAAGAAATGTCAGATATCCAGGCAGAGAATGACGGGGTGGATTCAGGTGATTTCTGAGGGATCACTGAGGTGTTAGCCACTTGGAACCGTTAATCCAGTATAGCTTGTGCTGTCTTATTCCCGTGTAGAGGTGAGTGGGGTGGAGGGACCATGAGGACACAGAGTCAGCATGTTTGTCAGTGCCTTGCTACTGTGTTAGGGCTTGTGGGAGTAGGGGAAAGGGGATGGCATTTCTCCCGCCACACTGTACAAAAGGACCCCTCCTCATTTGTGCCTTTTGGCAGCAGCAGTGAGAGCAGAAGCATAGTGTTTGTTGTTTGGTTATAAACTTAATCTTTCACTCTCATGTTTAAAAAGAAAAATTGGGCAACCCCCTTGAGTCCCCTCCCACTCTGGGAGCTTTTCTGTCCTCTCAATAAATCCTGCTTTCTCACCTTAAAAAAAAGAAAAGAAAAGAAAAATTGCCCTGTTTTGTTAATTACCCTTTAGTTAATATGAGCTATGCACCAGTCTACTGGGAGTGTGTTCAGTGGTCTGCATAGATTCTGAGCACCCTACACAGGCAGGGTCAACGACACCAGGCTCTTTGGGTGGTGTCATGTTTGGCAGTGTATTATTTTTATCAGTAAGCTATTTTTAATTTTCATTGAAGTCTGCTTTTTATTCACACTTAGGGTCAACTTTCTTTGCCATTCTTCTAGCCTTCACTAGACAGTGAAACATGTTGTGGTATAATGAAGTCAGTACAAACAGAGTTCTAGAAAGTCACTTTATAGCAAGGATGATTGAGAAACTCATATTTTGTGATGTCAGCAAGATCTACACTGTCCCATACTTTTCACAGATTTTTTTCTGTATATACTTTTCTCAGTTTAATATGGTTATTTAATTTTATAGGGGAAAGGATTTTATTGTTATTATAAGCTGTTAACATCATTTTTTAGTTATGTAGTTTTTAGGAAAAAAAATTCATCAAATGTTTTACTTTTTATTGATTTAAACCACTTTTTTTTTTTTTTTTTGAGTTGGAGTCTCATGTCACCCAGACTGGAGTGCAGTGGCTGCTCCCAGCCACTGCAGCCTCGACCTGCTGGGCTCCGGCAGTCCTTCCGCCTCAGCCTTCCGAGTAGCCAGAATTACAGGCGCGCGCTACCACGCCCGGCTAATTTTTTGATTTATTGTAGAGATGAGGTCTCGCTGCCCAGGCGGGTCTTGAACCTGCGGGCTCAGGCAATCCACTCACCTCAGCCTCCCAAAGGCGTGGGATTACAGGTTGAGCCACTGAGCCCGGCTTAAACCACTTTTAACCTTGAAATTTGCATGAACCATTTATGTTAAAAATGTGTGACCATTTTGATGATGATTTAAGAACATTTGTATTTGTGGTACAGAGAAGTTTTGTAAAATTACCAGTGACCATTTTCTGCTTGCTCAATTTTAGGCCTTCTTCCTGGTCTATGCTCTGGGATGTCTAAGTATTTACTATGAGGAGGTAAGATGTTTTGTTTTGGCACAGTCCACTTAAAATTTTTCTTATGTTAAAAGCAAGTTGTGCTAATTTGTATATTGTTGTAAGATAAATGTGTCTACTTCTGTTGAATAAAATAGGAATTAAATGTTTTCTCTGTTTGAGCTTTGGGTTCTGAATTGACTATTCAGGAAAAAGGCAGCTTTGACTCTTTTAGAAATTGCATTTCATTTCTAGAGACTAGGAGAAGTGCAGGAGAGCTGTATTAAGAAGTATTAAAAATTAACAAAAATAAAAGCTATCAATATTTGGCACCTACTATGGTAAAGGCTGTGTATTAGACACTTTTCATGCAGTATTTCTAATCCTTACCTCCACCTGGTAAGAATTTTATAGATAAGGTAACCAAGGCTTAGAGAAAATAAGTAACTCACCCAAGGCCACACAGCTAGTCAGGTTAGAATTAGTATTTGAACCTACATCCAGGTAACTCCAAAGCCCAGGATATTGTACTGCAGCGTGCTGCCTTTAGAAGAAAAATAGTTGCACGAGAAGGTGAGACCATTACTTGCTTCCAGGCAGAGGAACTGGGGTGCTGGGGACACAAAGAAGAGGGAGACTTTTCACTGCATACCATTTGTACTTTCTGCGTTTCAAACTATGTGAATATAGTATAATAATTTGAATTCAAAAATAATTCAAATAAATTTTAAGAGAGAAAAGTAAGCAGAATAGTAAATAGAACAGAGTGTATTTTATTTGGTCCTTGGGAGCACTTAATCTTACCATTCATCAATTTTTTTCTTTTGAGTCAGCCTCCCAACTAGTTGGGACTATAGGCATGCACCACCACACCTGACCAATTTTTTTTTTTTTTGTAGCAATGAGGTCTCACTATGGAGCCTCATTGGAGCCACCACATCCAGCCCATTCATCAAATTCTAATTACATAAATCTTGTTTTCACGAGTATTCCAGTGTTCCAGTGGTAGCCTGGTGCACAGCTCATTTTCCCAGATGGTGGCCATTCGTAATTCCACTCTGCCTTCTTTCACAGGCCTTAGCTGAAATTTGTCAGAATGTTTGCAGCTGCTACCTACTGTTCTTATCATACGAACAACATTGGGACTATACATGTTGGAATTTCAGCCTTCTCTACAAGACTGTTGCTTGTTGGAGAAGGAGTTGAGTGTTTACTTGCAGTGGGATTTGAGAAGGCCACACATGTTTAGAATTCTCACATTAGGAACAACTGGGGAAAAAGGAAAAACAAAAATTAGCTTATTTACAGTTTTAAAGTCTTAGAGTGAGCTAAACTGAGCAAATCTCACTGACTGACTGAGCTACTGACTCCATCTACCAATAGAAGAATTGATTGTTTCACTAACACTGAAATGAAGCAGCAAAGTTTCCAAACTTACCTGGTTATTTTGTTGTTGTTATATTTTTTTGTATCTATGTATCAGAATACTCTCTAGATCAAACTATTGTTACTCTCTTCAATACCCACATTACAAGCAAAATTCTCTTTTAAAAAGTTGGAATATTTGTGTCATCAGATAACAAATTCTCTAGTTTCACAAAGTGGAGTATTTTTTTTTAACTTTTACTTCAAAAATATTTTTGACTTTTTTGAATGTGACCTGATGTAGACTAACTGCTTGGTTTTGTTTGTTTGGGGTTTGTTTGGGGCTTTTTTTTTTGTCAGAGTCTCACTCTATCGCCCAGGCTCTAGAGTGCAGTGGCACGCTGCTCACGGCCACCGCAGCCTCTATCTGTTGGGCTCAAGGGATCCTTCTCCTTTAGCCTTTCAAGTAGCGGGAACTGCAGGTGTGCACCACCACGCCCAGCTAATTTTTTGATTTATTAGAGAGACAAGGTCTCACCATGTGCCCAGGCTGGCCTCGAACCCACGGGCTCAGGCGATCCTCTCAGCTACTTGTTAAGGGTCTGTGAAATTGTGGAACATGCTGCCCTTCAGCTTTGGTGGACTTGTTACGCTTCAGCCCCCTTGATACATAATGGTTCCTTTGCTTCAAATGTCCTTCCCAGCCCACCTCCTCCCTCTCTAGTACTCTATCCCCCCTTCTCTTGGCTACTTCCCATTCTCAAACATTGCCTTTTCTCTGTCCTCTGGAGCAGTGCTGTTCAGTATAATGGAAGCCTCAGATGGGAGCCACGGGTATAGTTTTAGATTTTCTGGTAGTCACATTAATTGATTAAATAAATTAATTAAATAGTTTATTTTACTATATCATAACCAAACATATCCAAAATTATTGAGACAGTTTAGAGTCTCTTTTGTTTTGTTTTTTTTTTCAAACTAACTTGGAATTCGGGGTTTATTTTACACTTAAAGCCCGTCTCAATTCAGACAAACCATGTATGGGTGGCGGCTGCCATGTTGAACAGTGCAGGGCCAGATCTTCTAGCTGAATCTGTCTGTCAAGGGCACTTCATTTGTTTTATTCCAGCTTCAGCTGCACACTTAGTATAGACGTTGATGTACTGACTGAATGAGTGAATACATACACATTAATCCTTTTCTTTTTTGATGACTTTAGGAGGCTTTGACCATAGTGAAGCTCTGGAACTCTTTCACTGTAGTTCAGCCCACATTCAGGACAACCTACATGGCCTACCATTACTTCCGAAGCAAGGGCTGGGTGCCCAAAGTGGGCCTCAAGTATGGGACAGATTTACGTAAGTATTCCTAGCATGGTAGGTGTGAGGACAGGATTTCTATCAGAGTCTAGAAACAGAATTTGTATCAGGTTTACCCTAGAAAATCAAATTGGTCATATGTGCTATTGCTTATCTTTTGTAAGAAAGTATCCTCCTTTGGGCTTAGATTAAAATATTGGGCCAGTGCAGTGGCTTACGCCTGTAATCTCAGCACTTTGGGAGGCAGAGGTGAGAGGATTGCCTGAGTCTGTGGACTTGAGACCAGCTTGTGAAGCATTGGCAAGACCGTGTATCTACAATAAATCAAAACATTAACTGGGTGTGGTGGTGCATGCCTGTAGTTCCAACTACTTGGAAGGCTGAGGTAGGAGGAGTCCAGCAGGTCAAGGCTATGGTGGCCGTGAACAGTGTGCCACTGCACTCCAGCCTGGGCAACACAGTGAGACTCTGACTCAAAAAAAAAAGAATATTGGATATTTGGGTTGGGGTGGAGGGTAAGTCCAGAAAGAGAAAAGGTATGCTAGGGGGGAAGCCTAGGAATGGAAGCTTACAGATCCAATTCAGGCTTTCCCTCTTGTTTGCCCTGTAATTTTAGAAAAAGATTCTAAGTATTCAAATGCACCTCTCATTGGCTATGAGAGCCTGTCATTTAGGACAGTCCCTTATCCCCTGGGCCTCAATTGCCTTGTCTGCCATGTGAGAATAATCATATAATTGTAATAATAATTATAGCTATCATTCATTGAGCACTTACCATGTGCCAAAAATTTTACAAAGTGTTCTACATTGATTATCTCATTTAATCCTTATGGCAGCTCTATGCAGTAGACCCTCTTACTACCCTCATTTTCTGGTAGGAAGACTACAGTTGTGAGAGAACAGGTCATTTGCCAGTAGTAGTTTCTGGGGCCAGTAACTTGCAGAGCTGAGCTTTGAATTCTAGGACCAGGGCTCTTAAAAACTTCTACATAGTACTGCCTCCCTTGATCTTAGAGTGAGAGTATGGACCAGGTGAATATTCATTCCACAGATAACTGAAGTCTGCTGTTGGCCAGGTACTGTTTGCAGTGTCAGGAATACAGATGTGCCGGACTCGGTGGGTCCGCCTGTAATCCCGCGCCTTTGGGAGGCTGAGGTGAGTGGATTGCCTGAGCCCGCGGGTTCGAGACCCGCCTGGACAACTTGGTGAGAACTCACCTCTACAATAAATCAAAAAAAAAATTAGCTAGGCGTGGTAGCGCATGCCTGTAGTTCTAGCTACTCGGAAGGCTGAGGCGGAAGGATCACCGGATCCCAGCAGGTCAAGGCTGTGGTGACTGGGAGCGGCCACTGCATTCCAGTCTGGGCGACAGTGAGACTCCAACTCAAAAAAAAAAAGAATACAGATGTGAGCCAGGCGCAGTCTCTCACGCCTGTAATTCTAGCACTTTGGGAGGCAGAAGCAAGAGGATTGCCTGAGCCCAGGAGTTCAAGATCAGCCTGGGCAACTTGGCAAGACCTTGTGTCTACAATAAATCAAAAAATTAGCCTGTAGTTCTGGCTATTTGGAAGGCTGAGGTGGAAGGATCACTGTTGATGTGGCTGCTGTAGCTGTGAGCATGCCACTGTGCTCCAGCCTGGGATACAGAATAAGACTCCAACTGAAAAAAAAAAATTACAGTGCTGAACAAGATGAACACAGAGTTGCCTTCATGGAGCTTATATCCAGTGGGGGGACAAAACAAACATATATTGTAATTGAATGTATATATGATGTCCAGACTGATAAGTACCATAAGAAAAGTAGAGTCAAGGCATAGAGAGTGAAGGAAATTAGTTAGGGTGATCAGGAAAGGACTCTGAAAAGTTGTGAACACAGGAAACAGCTCATGTGGGAATCTGGGGATGACCACGCTGGGCAAAGTGAGTAGCCACCACAAAGGCCCTGAGGCAGGAACAAACTTACCAAGTTTCAGGAACAGCATTAATACAAGTGTGTCAGGAACTTATAGGTCCCAGGGAAAGTGATAGGAGGTGATGTCAGGAGGCTAGGGCCAAATCGTGTAGGGCTTGGCAGAGGTATTTGAGGTTTTGGGATTGGGAGTCGAGAGGATTTTGAGCAGAAGAATGCCTTGAATTTAATGACATGAGTTCATGAGACCCTCTGTCTGCTGTCTTATTAATGACTGAAGGAGGCAAAAAATGGAAGCAGAGTGACTCTTTAGGGAAGCTGGACCCCAACCAGACCCACTGATGAAATGGATATGGAATTTGCTGGAAGGTAACCCCTTGATATTGCCTTCATGTTTTGGACATTAGATAAGTCTAGTGGAACTATTCAGAAGGTAGATAGACAGTTCTGGAGCACGGGAGAGCCTTGAGATAGACATTTGGGAGTCATTCTGTAAGTGGAGCCTAAAGCCAAGCTTGGGTGAGTGAACACAGATCATTCGGATCCCTTCTACACTGGGATCATTCCTTTGACAAGTCACCAAAGCTCAGTTTCCACATCTGCCAAGTGAGGATGCTTCCTGGTGCTTTTCAGAATTGTTTGTGAGGTTCAAACAAAATTTCAAGATATTTGAGAGACCTTCTAAGAAGTCATGGCCCTTGAGGTCTTTGAGCCCTGTCACTTCTGTGTTCCATGTGTTTTTGAATCTTTTTAAATACTTGAAGAAAGTCAATTCAATCTTTAAAAATCTTTAGATGCTCTAAAACAGGATGTGCTTAACCTAGAATCGTAGGATATTCTTCAGGCACCTTGGCACTCCTGAAATTCTTTTCAAAATGTTATTTGTAGATTGGTCCATTTTTCTGGGTCAAGAGTCTAGCTTTCATTAGTTTCTCAGAGGAGATCATCAGTCTAAAATAAGGGCTAAGGATAGCCCATACTTCCAAGATACATGGTTTATTTTGTTTTTCATGCCTGGATCTCAGGTACAGATAGTCCTAACTCAGGGTTACCACACAAATATCAAAATTAACTTGAGATTAGTTTGCTAGACTTTGAGATGGCCACAGATCATGTCGTTTAAATGAATGATGTGCCTGTTTCGTTTTTCTTCATTGGCTTCCCGCCTTATTCTCCTTGTCATGCTTCTTTAATAACCTACTCAGCCGGGCTCAGTGGCTCAGCCTGTAATCCCAGCATTTTGGGAGGCTGAGGTGAATGGATTGCCTGAGCCTGCAGGTTCGAGACCCACCTGGGCAACTTGGCAAGACCTCATCTCTACAATAAATCAAAAATTAGCCAGCATGGTAGCGTGCGCCTATAGCTCTAGCTACTTGGAAGGCTGAGGCAGAAGGATTGCCGGAGCCCAGCAGGTCGAGGCTGCGGTGGCCGGGAGCGGCCACTGTACTCCAGTCTGCGTGACGGAGTGAAACTCCAACTCAAAAAAAAAAAAAGAGGGGGCATAAGGTAGTAGAGAGCTCTTGGGTTCATGGCTGCCTCTACCTCCGACTACCCGGATGACCTCACATGAGTTCCTTAAGCTGTTTGCTCATCGTATCACAGAATCTTCATAAAACACTTATTAGAAGTGCAGTCAGAATGTATAGTAGCCCCTCTTTATCCTTAGTTCCAGTGATCTGAGGTCAGCTCAGTCCAAAAATGTTAAGATACTTAAAAGATACCACATTCACATAACTTACTGTTATAATTGTTCTATTTTATTATTAATGTTCTTAATCTCTTATTGTGCCTCATTTATAAATTAATCTTTATCATAGATATGTGTATAGGAAAAAACAGTATATTTTAGAGTTTGTTATTATCCACAACTTCAGGTACTCACTGGGAACTTGGAACATGTCCCCACAGATAAGAGAGCGCAACTATATACTAAGAAGGCATTGGGCGTTTCATAGAGAAAACTTTCCTAATTTTAAAATAAAGTACCTCAGAAGGACAGTTAGAAGGACAGATGGATAGGGAGATGGACTTTTGAAAACAGAAAAAGAAAAAAACTCCTTATTTTATAATTCCCTGGAGGTCTTTGCTGCAGAAGGGGCATGTCATCCATTTCTAGTCACTTATGCAAGGGGGGAACTCACAAAAAACCCAGAATTATCTTTTGAGGGGTGGACCCCTTGTAGTACAGGCTTACCCTTCTAGGGAAGTGTTTTAGGAACCCATTGGCATCAGCATACCAGCTAGTGTTGTTGTGAGAGGCTGCGTTCAACTTCAGTGAAATTCTTTTTTGGAGATTCTTTCAACGCATTTGCCTATTTCATGATGAGTGATTTCCAAGCGCACCTGTCCACACTGCACTGAGTGTTCAGCAGTTTTTGACCAAAAAATGTCATTACCCCTGTACTCCACCCTCCCTATTCACCTGATCTTGCTCCAAGTGACTTTTTTGTTTGTTTGTTTCCCTGAATGAAAAAAGTCCTCAAAGGGAAACATTTAGCCAGTGTGGAAGAGGTGAAACAAAAAATGGCAGAAGCACTAAAAGGTACCAAAATGCATGAGTTCAAAAACTGTTTTGAACAGTAGAAAAGCTTACTGATGGGTGTATTGCGTCAAACGGAGTGTACTTTGAAGGTGACTGAAGTTTAAATATGTAAGAATAAATACACCATTTTTTATAAATAAATTCTAGGTTCTTTTGGATCCCCCTTGTGTAATTAATGTGGGATCAGGTCTCTGACTCACCCACGGAGTCAAACTGGCCTAGCAGCAACATCAAGGACAAGTTCACAGTCTCTGCTTTAGCAAGGGTTCTCGGCCAGTAATACCCTGAGGTGTGAGAAATGACTTTCCAAATTCTTCCTCTTTTCCAGGCATGGCTACAGGGTGCCTACTGCTTTATAACAATATCATTTTAATTTTGGAGCCCAGTGAGGTAATCACAATGTACCCTAGAACTGACAACATAGGTTAAAACCTAAGACAGTCTCTGTTAACAGTTGTTTTTCCTTAGGGCTGTAATGACTCATGATAAAGGGCCATTATGAAATTCACATTTTATCAGGGAAACTTTTTCCTTGAATAAATTTTGTCAATCAAATTTCATTCCAGAAGAAATACTTGGAGCAAG